TTTGAATCTATAGTTCCAAGAAGCTCTTGATAAAATCTGACTGCCTCATTCTCCATGCTAAAAACTATGGTAAGCCTTTTATTGTCTTTTGTATAGAGCTTCTTAATTACACTTTTCCCCCTCCTAACTTTGACTACCTTGTAAAAATAGGTGGTGTTGCTATCACCCTCTTGCAACCATTTTATTCGTGATTTTTGCCTGTAGAATGATTCCTCAGCCAATTGTAGAGCCGTAACTTTTTGAACTTGATCATGCTCAACCTGAACCATTTCTGCAAAAGGATTAGCTAATAAATCTGCTTGAATCAAATGTAATTTTTGCTTTTCCTGCCGTAGTTTATTTGAGAGATCAACACAGTATTCAACATTTAATTTCTTGAGGGCAGGTTTTAGAGCCTTTAGCTTTTTGCAAAGTTGGAACATATAGCAACCTTGCACTTGAGTTGTTTCCCAAACTTGCTTCACTATGTCCAAAAACTTCTCATTCTTGATCCAGAAGTTGAAGAATTTAAATGGTTTCCTTCGATTGTTAACTTCAGGGGCTTGGATACCTACCAAACCTGCACAATGGTCTGAGCAGCCAGGGGGCAAAAATTATGCATTAGTGCGTGGAAATAAGTCAAACCAAACATCATTGACCATTAAGCGATCCAACTTTTTAGGAATGGGACCATCCTCCTTATTGCTACACTAGATGAAATAAGAACCCGAGGAAGGAATGTCACGGAGCCCAGCAGCATTAAGCTTATCATGAAAAGAAAGAGATTCTTTTGAGCTGCTTGCTGCATCTGATCTCTTTGAGGGAGATCTTATGTCATTGAAATCCCCTCCCACTAGCCATGGAACAGCAGGTAGTGCCAGGCTAAAAAGAATTAATTCATCCCATAATGTTTGTCTAATAGCATCCGAGTAAGGATCAGCATAAATGGCACTCAAGAAAAAAATATTGGCTAGATAAAGAATTATAAACATGGCAATGAATGGCTTGGCAGCTCATGGAAGAGACAATGATGTGAATATGATTCTTGTGAAGAATCCAAATTCTACCAATTCTGGAATGCTCATAGTTGTGGAGCATAGACCAGGATGGTAACAAGAAACTGGAAATTGCCATGTGTTTAGCTTGCTGAACTCTAGTCTCCAATAAACAAACTATATCAACATGATATTGGGAAAAATATTTTTTGAGCTTCTTTGCTTACTAAGCATATTAATGCCCCTGATATTCCAGAACAGAATTCTCATTTGGGCTGAGAAGAGGATACCTCACTTGAGGAATTTGACTTCTTCTTTTGTTTCCTCTACCTTGGTGACAACAGCAACACCTTGGGAAGCAGCTCTGGCCATTCTAGTCTCAATAACAGGATTCACACTTATGTTAATAACAAGATTCATACTTGCGTCACCCAAAGTAGAAAAAGAATTAGAGGTGTGAACTTCCTTATTTGGAAGAGCAGCATCTAGTACTGATCTAACCAAAGTTGCAGTGGAATGGATGACTGGAATATCCTTCTCAACCAGGTTTGAGGCAAGCT